ATAATATGCAAATAAATTAAGAAGAACTAACTTAACTAAACTGAGAATTTTATCCCTAGATAAAATTATTTTGACTGTTTAAAAACTTCTCATTCCAGGAGTCCTATTTACTTTTTCTTGAACTAAACTCTTGTGTAAAAATATATTTATATTTATTTCGAAATGATTTAAGTTAACAGTTTTTATTGAATTTAGCAACATTTCGTTTAGTGAAATTAGATGAAAGCAAATAAAATAGAAATGAAATTGTCACAGTAGATGACGGGGTTGTGTACGGAAAGTGGAATATCCATGAGTACCGAAATCTCATGTCACATATTTTGCTTGAATTTTGGCTACTCCTTTGAGCTGCAAATGCTTTGTAAATTTTTAATTTGTACCTTCGTTTCTTTCGGAGTAAAGAGTGAAAAGAAATAATTTTATATTAAATATTGTAGCAATTTCGCACTTAGAATGTGAAAGCACCGGCTCTGGCACAAAAACAAACTAGAAATGCGCTTGCCAAGTGCAGCAACTGTGCTTAGGTACACTAATTCCGAGGACTGGCCACTTTCTGAGTAGTTCCGACTTTTAGCAACATTCTTTTTTTTTTGTTTTTGACTTTTTTGTTTCTTTTTGTTTTTGTTTTTTCTGTTTTTTGACTTTTTTATGCTTTTGTCTAATGGCTTCCGGCAAGCGTCCAGCATCAAAAATTCTGTGCATTGCGCACTCAAACGCACGAACGATCTGTTCCAATGATTGTTCGTACCACTCAGTTCCCATTTTTATTTGCTGGTTTGCTGGTGTTTGTGTGTGTACGTGCAGTAAATAACGTGCGCATATGTGCTTGCTTATGTTTTTGTGTTAACTTTAATGTACTTTATGAACTAAAGAGTAAAGTGTAGACACTTTTTTAATTGTACATATGTTTATGTGTGTGTGTGATTTAGTAACTAAGTGTGTTCCTTTGTTTCATATTCGTAGATGTTTTGTTTTTGTTAACATTTTCATTTTTAACTTTTTTTTTCACTCAGCTCATGCTCGTGTGTATTTTTTGTTTTTGCTGTCCAGCGGCTTTTGTCATTTAACAACTCATAATAGAGGTCGAGTTAAAAAATCCTTTTGTAATTTTGAATTTTTATTCTGAGTTTGTTTTTCTTTTTCTTATTGTTTTTGTTTTTTTTTGTTAGTTTTGTTTTTGCATTGTTGTTTCTTTTTCTCGTTTCTCGTTTGTATCCTGCAGTAACAATTTAACACTTTTTCGTTAGGGTATTTTGTAGTTTTGCTGCAGTGCTCGGCGCTTTGTCAAAAGTATATATTTTTTTACCTTAATGGTACATTTGTGAAATTTTTGTTATTACTGTAGTTATAGTTGTTGCAGTTGTAGTTGTATTCGTAATTGTTGTTGTAATTGTTGTTAATGTTGTTGGCTGTTCTTATTTATACAATTCAGTATTTTTTTCGTTCTTTGAATTTTTGCTTAACTGACGTTATATTTTCAATTGTCATAAAATGTGAAACAAATTCTTCTTATTGCTTTCTGCTTGTCAAGTTGTTTTAAAACGAATTCACTTTTTATATTTTACACTACGTGTTCATGCGTGTGTGTGCGTGCTTTTTTTTCTCGTTTCGTTCTTAAAACAACGCTTAAAACAACGGCAACGGCAGCGGCAACATCAAAAATGGTGAAATGGGAACATTTGTGCCCAGTGGGTGAATTATTCACATCATTCCTTCCCTGGGAAATTTTTTCTCTGATTGCAGATTTTCTTGTTTTGGAAAACCACTGAAATTGTTTTTGCTGTGATGCAAGCTGTCATATTATTACACTTATTTCTTAGGTATTTTCTGTCAGAGTTGGACATAAATGGAACGCGTATATCAAATAAATATTTAATTTGAAATGTTTAGTTTTTATATGCCAGCACAAAAATAATATTAAACGCTTAATTTGAAATGTACATATGCCACCGAAAGAATGCTCTTCAAATGTGATTGGAAAAGCTTGACGAGATTTTAAAAAATTATATTCACCAAACTGTATATATCCGGTTGCATATTTCTATCTCCTCTGTGGGATAGACTAATAGACTATATAATATATTTGTATTAGGATTTGAGGACATATTATAAATAAAGTAAATTTATCTGCGAATATCCAGGAAGTTACTTGCTTAAGTATCTTACTAACGCAAAGATATCACTGTTGAAATCTATCAAAAATTAGGTCTGTTCCACGAGCTACTAGTAGTAAATTTGGGTAACACTGTTTATACACAAGTGTGTTCCAGCAGCACATTTTTCGTTTAAATTTTACTTGTGTTTTACTTGAGTTTTACTGCGAGTAACTCGTGGAACAGACCTATTATGTTTCCACAATTAACAGGTCTTATGTAGAAGCTTCACATGAAGGCTTATCGCTATAGAGACATTTTTTCTGT